CCGCCTGGCGGAGGGAGGGGCCATATGTCCCGCCCTCCCATCTGGTCTCCGGGTGACATTGGGGGTTCGAAACTCCTCTCGTAGAGCCTCAGGCCATCGACGACCGAATCAATCAGCTGCTGGCGGGAGCTGCCCAGGCGGTCCCTCCATGAGACCAGCATGTCCGCTGCTACTTGCTCCGTTGATCCTGCCGATGTAAAGCCTGGGTCAGTTTATATAAATATATCTATTAAATACAAGGCAAACAAACTCATGTGTACGAATAGGTAAACATGTAACAATGGGATAAATCGGTTGAAGCAGAATATAATGAAGAACCTATTGTAATAACCAGTGTTCATGGCCCTGAGCGGCGACTTACCGATCATGACAGGCACTTGTGGCTTGGACGGGATGAAGGGCACAACGAGACCATCAGCCAGGAGCCATGGGCGGCCGTAGGGGCGGCGGTACTCAAGCGAGGGCGCCTCCATCACGTTGCGGGCCGGCGTGGTTTCGAGGCACCGGACTGTGGAGCAGTTGAGCGACTCCACCAGCTCGGGGTCTGCCTCCCGCCACGAGTATTCGGGGTGGAGCGGCGCCGTGCCGGTGATCCAGGCGGAGTGGATCAGGCGATGGCCCTGAGACGAGGAAAGGAGGGGCCAGGCCATCGCCGCCCCCGCTTGGTGGCCCAGGAGCGTGATGCGGCCAGGGTCCCCGCCGAAGTGCTCCACGTTGCGCTGCACCCACTTGAGGGCCGTCAGGAGATCCGAGACGCCCTGGTTGCCGGAGGTGTGAGGGTAGGTCGATGCCGCGAGTCGGGGGTGCGGGAGGAAGCCCAGCATTCCTCGGCGGACCTGCGGGGCAACGAGGACGATCCGCCGCTCCTTCACGACCGTGGTGGCGCCGCTGAGCAGCCAGGGGCGCCGAGTGTCTCCTCCGAGGCTTATCCCGCCCACGTACACCACAACAGGAAGGGGAGAGTCGTACCCCAGTTGGGGCGTGAACACATCCAACAGCAGGCAGTCCTCGGATCCCTCTACTACTGCACCCTACGAGCGAAAAAAGAAAGCGGAGGAAAACACGATGAAGTAAAACGGTATAAAAATCTAGCAACAAAAAAGATGAACATACGAGCATACTCAAGGATACGTTTTCTGTGTTACAAACCTCCCCGTTAACATTAAGTCCCCAATTTCTATATCGTACTTTTGCCATCTACAGATACATGTAATTTTGGGTGCTTCTGTTACCTGAGTGTCGTAGCCCCAGCAGGGTCGTGTCACGTTGGCCAGGTAGGTCCCCGTCCAGCAGTCCTCCAGCGACGTCTGCAGCTGCGACTGGCGAAACCTGTAACGGCCCACGGGAGGGATGGCGTAGGGAAGTCCGCGGAACACGTAAGCGTTGTTCTCAATCACTCTGGGAGAGGGGGAGGCTCGTTACTCTATCTGCCTTGAAAAGGTTCATATTCCACCTATAACTTTTGTTATGCTTATTACAAGTCATCAGATGACTTTTATCGGTTTATCATTATTCCTCAGCCCATGTGGTAAGGACGCATATCCCCTAGATATGTTAGAAGCACCCTACTTTTATATCCCAACAAAATAAAACTAAAACTAAAAGAGGAAAGGCTCGCTACCCTTGGGCGAGACCGCACGCCGTAACGGTTGTGACGTGCGGGTGATGGACTCGGGGGTCCGGCCCGAAGAACGCGCCCCGCGACGTCGAGGCCACAATCACTATCGTCACCACCAGCACAATCAGCACGATGGTACAACCTGGAACCGAAGAATACGGTGGGGATCACGGAAAATCTACTCTGCATAGGAATGATAAGGTGTGGTTCGCTAAAGATGCTGAATTGTTATATAGGGTTAATGCACTGTCATACTTATTTAATCATTTTTGTGTAAGATATCAAAGATATGTATCATTCTCCTCTCTCTCTCTCTCTCTCTCTCTCTCTCTCTCTCTCACTGCACGTCCGCTCTGACCTATAATGACCCTGGTGGAGGCCAGGGAGGAGAGCATGCGCTCCATCAGCGTCCTGGCGCGACCCTTTCTCCTGGAGTTGGGCTGGTCGAGCTTGGGGTCCCGCACCACCGACACCCCCGGGTCGAACAGGTCCAGGTAGCGAGGCTCCCTGTGGTACCCCGCGTCGTGGATCTGAAGGAGGGAGAATGCAAAACGAACGTTGAAGCGTCTGCGGAGGTGGTTTTATGGACACTGTGGGGCAGCTGCTGTTCTCTATATATGCCAGAGGGAATGCACTTCAAATATCTGATCTCTGTCTATGTCCCCCTCGAGTGCTTCCTTCATCCATTTTTCAACCAGCCCTCCACTAGATCATTCGCAACCCCCCCACCCCCCACCACACGTACCTCCGGTTCCGAGTAGGGAGAGGCGGAAGCCCCGTAGGGGTCGCTGCTGGAGGGGTCGCGAAGCGGGTCCTTGAGGGGGTCTTTGTAGGTGGGGTCCTTAAAGGCGCCCTCGGTCACGGACACGCCCCTGTCACTCCTCCCCGGGTCGGTGCTGCCCACCCGCCCACCACCGCGCTGTGGAAACAAAATCATCAGGTTTTAACAACACGCCAGCACTTCCCTCGATTTCAGCAGTTACTATTAAAGGAGAAGATACCAGGCAACTAATCTCGTACATCATAATATTCATCAGCACTGATATGAGCCGTCTCACCTGAGCGATCTCAAACTTCCTCCTGAAGAAGGCAGGGATCTTCCAGTGGTGGGAGTTGCGGTGTGGTGGTGGCTGGTTGTGGCGCTGGTCCGCGCCCCGCGGAGGCCCCGACCCGCTGCTCCAACTGCGCGCCACGTACCGCCCCACCACGCCCACGCCGGACATCCTGCAACGCAAACACACCGTGTCAAGGAATGCTCATCACCAATTTCATGTTAAACACGTGCCAGAACATACCTGAAATCAACTACGTGAGGTTTCCTTCATACGTTATAAATTATCATTAATATGAAATGTCTCCTGATTAGGTAATGGACAGCATCTCACTGGCACTATGCACACGTTGTAGAACGATCAGTTCTCACAGAAGTGACAACTTTTATTAACAGTTACAAAAAGTTAAATAAGAAGAACAGTTTAACGGCACCAGTAAACATACACAAACCGAAAATGTTTACCAAAATACAGAGACAGCTATGTTAATGGTAAAAAAAAAAAACAGAGACGAACAGAGCCGACCGCGCAAATTGGTCAGGCAAATGAAAACAACGTTACCCGGCAATGCAACGCCCGGAGCTTCTCTTCCTATTGGATAAGCTTTATGCTGCGGTTCCTGCGAAAGTTTCTGTTTTTCATGTGTTTCCCTCTCGAAAGGTTTTATTTCTGAATAAAGCACAGTCTTCTGTTTTTTATCAATAATTCATTGGTGTGAAAAAGAAAAAAAAGTGTATTCATTAATATGTTTGTCTTGATATGATGGAATGCCTACAAACAAGAAACACTAAATACCAGAAAAAATACATTCGTATGACCATTTAAAATCGAGATAAACTAGAGGGAGAAGAAGGGGCGAAGGGAGAGAGAAGGGATAAAGAAGGAGAGGGAGAGGGAAGCGAGGATCACCTTAGCTCTCCCATGTAAGGACTTTAGGGAAAACGTGACGAGCCACCCCAATCGCCCTTACCTCCTGGGGTCATAAGATCGAGATTCCTTTAGCCCTCCGAACACCGTCTTGATGTGCCAATTGGTTATTGTGTTTTACCAGATGTTGAAAATTTATTGTGGATGACAGGAGATCCGAAGACACAGGGAAGAGAGGGGAGAGAGGGAGAGGGGAGTCGGGGAGGAGAGGGGAGAGGGGGAGAGGGGAGAGAGGGAGAGGGGAGAGGGGGAGGAGTAGGCGCGAGTATCCGATCACTTTTTTCCATTTCTAACGTGTGCGTGTGTGCGTGCGTTCGTGTGTGTGTGTCGAAATGAAGGGAGTGTTGTGTATGTCTGTAGGAAAATACGATTGGAAGATAAATATAAGAAAATAATTACAAGACACAATACAAATGGAATAAAATAAGAAAAGAAGAGAAAATAAGAAAAAAAGAAATAGACGAAAATAAGAAAGAAGGGAGAAAATAAAAAAAAGAAAGAAGGGAGAAAAGAAAAAAATGAAAAGAAAAGAAAAAATAACGAAAAAAGGAGCAAAGATAAGGAACGAACCAAAAAAACAAAAGAAGAAGGAAGAATGAAGAAGAAGAAGAAGAAAAAGAAGAAGAAGAAGAAAAAGAAGAAGAAGAAGAAGAAGAAGAAGAAGAAGAAAAAGAAGAAGAAGAAGAAGAAGAAGAAAAAGAAGAAGATCGAAGGAAGGAAAGAGTACACAAAGACGAAGGAGATGCATTATAAAAAAAAAAATCAGGAAAAATGAGAGAAAACAATAGCACGACGAGATGGAGGAATGGGGGAGCAAACAAGAATCAGAAAAAAAGGGAGGCAGAGAAAGGGGAAGCAGCAATTGATGAAGGAGAAGACAGAAAAATGGAAGAAAAAAAAAATACGATGAGGATGAGGATAGATGAATAACTGAAAGGAAAAACGGAATATTGTGATCTTGAAAATCATATGATGCAAAAATGACAGTAAATAGTAGTACCTGATGAACATTAACAAACAAATAAACGAATAAATAAAAATATCCAAAGTTCGATTTCCCGTAAGACGCGGTTACACGGACCCATTCGATTTCCTCCACTCTGCGGGTTTCTTCAATGATAACCAATGTGTTGTGAATGTATATAATTGTGTTTCTTTTTCTTTTTAAACGTGTCAACATGTATCTTACATTATTGAAGATCAGATATGGATTTACGTTTATAAGCATTGACTAAAACACAGATCCTTAATTAACTGAAAATTAAAATCTTGTACTGCGCTATTCACATCAAAAAGAAAAAAAAAAAAAAAAAAAAAAAAAATCAGGAAAAATGAGAGAAAACAATAGCACGACGAGATGGAGGAATGGGGGAGCAAACAAGAATCAGAAAAAAAGGGAGGCA